CTCAATCACAAAAGAAAATGAGACATTTTACAAGAATTCTGATAATTTGTATCAGCATGTTTAAGTTATAATGGGGAGTTGCTGTTTTGTAATTAGACTTTTTATGTCGTTCATTACACTTTGTTTGACTTGAGGAGGCTCATCTGAGTATTCTCTACTGAAGAAGGACTCTATATGTACAGTTCTTTGAGGAAGGTTACATACTCCATTGAAAATTTGTTCTGTTTCAGGACTGGGGCAATGAAAAACTGCAGAAAGCTCAGAAGCAGATAGAAGAAATTCCGTATGATTTAGAGGCGTGGAGTCTCTTGATTCGAGAGGCTCAGGGCAAGTGGATTGGAGAGATGAGGCCACTGTTTGAGAAGTTGGTGTCAACCTTCCCTAGTGCAGGAAGGTACTGGAAGATATATATTGAGCAAGAGGTTAGTTACATGTTATTATTTTCATATAATGGAGTCACCTGGCTGTGACATAATTTTCATAACTCTGGCAATGCTGTAATATGTTTCATATTGATATTAGTGATATGTATCAACTGCTGATGTTGTTTATGATCAGTATGATGGTTTGATGAATATAATAAACCCCAAGTTAAGAGCAGAAAATTTTTATAGTTGGCTCTACTTCGGAAGTGTCAAATTAACTAGTCTGCTCCGCATTTGAAGCACAAAATTAACTAGTCACCTCACTTCCTGGTTACACTGCAATTGTCTGCAAAGTTCCAGAATCCCCTTCTTTTTTCCTGACTGGGTTTTCCTTCAGTGTTCCTTGGGGTTTTTTGTACCTGGTAAATTTTGATGATAATTATTTTCTGGGGTTATGTGATGGTTGAGTAGGAGCAGGGTGAGACGAGAATGGAACAGAAGGCTGAAAAAACAAGGTTTTCATTTGAAAGGGAATGATGAGGTTTTCCAGCCTGTATTGAAAGACTATTCTGCCCTTGCAGTTTTCAGCTTCCTAGGTTTATTCATTACAACTTACACATTTCACTGAAGTAGTAGGGAATGATGACATACAAAGGCTGCCAGATGAACTAGTAAGGTGTGGTTTAGGTAATCTAATACCAATGATCTAGTTTTCAGACTGACTGGGACTTACAGAACTTTACTCAAATGTTGTGTTGTTATCCAAAAACATGTACAATATTATTTATACTCATCCTTTACTATGCTCAGTCTCCCTTATAATTCACTCTGTTTTAAAAAAATTTAACTGTACTTAGTGTTGTGGGTGGGGTGTCACGAGCCGGAGTCTGCTATGCATGTGTGGTGAAATATATCCGAGCCCGGCTCATGAGTCAAGCTCGCCGAGCCAGACTCGCAAGTCAGACTTGTAATGGATGGGCCGCTTTATTTTCAATTTCTACTGGGAATCAAACTTAGGACACATTTTCTGGAATATTGACCTTTCTAAAATCTTTTCCTGGCCTCAAAGAGTAAGCATGCTAAATTTAGAGCTAATTGGTGTTCTCAAGCTCATAATTTTTGTGTTAGATAAGAAATTCATATTCAATATAGCTTATAAGACATCCATATTCTTTTGTTTTCTACATTTATTGTTCATACTTACTTAATTCTGTAGTCCTGCATTGTCTTATCTCATAGTAATTTAATATAATGCAGCTTTTAAAATTCATTAAAAATTTATTCTCTTTGTAGTGTTATATAATGTCCAGACAGGCTTGTTCTGTGGCATAAAATTCATAATTTAAATTGACTATGAATCTGGCAAGTATGAGGAAATATTTTACTGGCTTTTGATTTATTCTTCATATGTGACATGCATGTTCTCTTGTTACAGATGAAGGCAAGAAATTTTGAGAAAGTTGAAAAGGTATGTTTCAAGTAGCAGTAGGTCTTTCTATCACATATAATGGTAAATAAAATACATGCCTATTTTAAGACATGCTATTTTCATTCTTACCTCAGTGTGTTGACACAGCCTGGGAGGTGGCTTTCTGTGACGTAACTACAGTAGTAAAGTACATTTTTAATTTCATTTTGTCATGAATGACCATGTTATCAGAGATCATAAAATCACGAAGAATTATAGCTCATCTTGTCCCTGACCTGTATTAAACCAGCACAAGATGTAAATGTAGTAGATTTTATACTGTACTTTCTGGGGGGAAAGTTTTAATCTGATTATTCTGTCTCCCCCATTTTGTTCTTTAAAATTCACGTTGTAATAAAATCAGGAGGATGTTTTATGATGTAAGATTTGAGGTTTTCACAGCGGTGAGTATGAAGATTTCTGTCTTCTGGGTTGTTGCAGAGGTCATACTGCCTCCGTCATCAGGACGGAGGCAGTATGACCTCTGAAACGTTGGTTAACATCAACCATACTACACAGTGCAACAACCCAGAAGACAGAAATCTTCATACTCACCACTGTGAAAACCTCAAATCTTACCAAAATGTTCCTTGGAAGTTGGGAAATTTCTTGACCACTTGCATTACTATGCTTCATGGAGTGCGTTAAGTAGCTAGTTAGTTTTTGTTGCAAGCAGTATGAAGTGATCAGGTATATAAATAAACAAACAGTGTTCCCACGTTTTCAGTGGGGTTGCATTTATACCGTAAGAAGTGTTCTAACTCAGACCCCCCTCTCTCAAATTAAAATTCTTCTGCATCCCTCAGCCCTTTAATATTGATCACATTTGCATTAGGATCATGAACTTTGATTTTCAATTATTTTAAGTTTCTGTCAAAGAAAGTAGTTGTGATTTTTGTGTGTAGTAACAAGCAAGTCAGAATCGGTAATATGCATGAGGCAAATTAATCCATATGAAGTTTTCTGTAAATTTCTCAAAAGATATTTCATAATAATACAGGTGACTGAGTGTCGGTATACATGGGGATTGCATTCTTGTGAACAGCTGCATATAACGAAAATGCGTAAAACAGGAAATAACATATAACAATAACTATTTGATATTAAACTGGAGTCAGAATTCTCTGATAGGCCTAGAGAAAGTTCAACTTAGGTTACAGGCTTAAAAATTTGGTTGTGCATAGGATAATGATGTTCCTCGTAATACTGAAATATATCTTGGATATACTCTGACCTATCCAAATGGAGAAAAGAGCGAACACGTGTATAACAAGTCACCTGTCATTGCAATATTTTACACCTACAAATGATGGTTACATTCTAATATACAGTTTAAATGTTTCTATTAATTTGAAAAATTTCCTTTTATATAAATATGAGAGTCTTCTGGGCACTGAAGGAATAACAAAAAAGGGATGCGAGTATCGGGTATAGAACGAATGAAAACAAATTTTTGATATGTTTGTGGCTAGTGCTCTGAATTTCCATGTCCTTTTACAGTTCTGTTAAGACCAAAATATGCATGTCTTAAATGGTGAATGATGATTAAAAATTGGAAAGTATGGTTTCTTTGCTTGTTCGTTATCCCCCACGAATCTTGGAATGATTATAAGATGGGATAGTAGTTGCACTTGTGTATGTGTGTGTGTGTGAGACACAAGTTTGTTACGACATTCATTAGAAGGCCACTTCCTGGGTGTTGAAGCCTTTTCTTAACCTTCCTTTCAAGGAATGAAAATCACCTAGAATCATTGTATGACTGCGTATTTGACAAGCTGTAAGGCACTCATTTCAACACAGCCTAACTGTTGAAGTTTCGTAATAGAGTTCATATTTTATTATTTTCAACAGTTTATTATCTTTCACGTTTGTGGAAAGCAAACCACGAAAGAAGTTTTAATTCAGAAACTTGCAATTTTTCCCCTGTTTGTTGTGATGCTGCGTAGGTAAAATATGTATTCTTTTAGAAGGTCGACTAGATTTTATGAATAGTTTCAGGTAAGTAAAACATGTGACCCTGATAATATTGAATGACTTTCAATCCTCAATTTACCAGTAACAAATTTAAGCATTGGCACATTGTGGATGAAATAGATTTTATAACTTGGTTTCATTTGTTTCCTGGAGTAAATTCTCTGAAAACTGCAGAAAGTGGTTTGAGAAATGATGCTTTCGAGATCTTTTCAGTTTGAATTTTACTTCCCAGCAATATTCAGAGAGCTTGGGATATCTTCAAGCGTTAGATATCTGTATATGTTTAGAATTACCTCTATTTTTGTAGATGGAGATCTGATGTTGGCTAGAGCCTTCTTCCTTCCTCTTTGACAGATTTAAAGTTAGTCAGTTCTTGACTTTGTGACATTTTCACTTAATTGACTGCCTTATGGTTTGTCAACTTCAGTGTGTGTGGTTGTGTAATTGTCTCCACGTGTACTACTAGAGGTGGGATATCTTGAAACATCACAGACTGTTAAGTCGCATGAAGTCATTGTGGCAAAATATGACTGCTGTACTTCATAATATCTTATTAAGTTTGCATATTCTGTTTGGTATATCGTAGAACAAATTTAATTTGTTTGAGATGTGTATTCCTCAGAAAGAATTTAGTGTTCCCGTCTGAAGTAAAATTTGTTTGGTAGCAAGCAACAGGCAACAGTTGTCAGGTGTTTTATTAAAATTAAATAATATGTGAGACTTCTACACCCATTATATGAAGCAACATGTTGAAAGTGAAACATTTTGCCTTTTATTGACATGCAATAGAGAACCAGTCTCCAATTCTGTCAGTTCACTAGCAGGGAAATGGTTAACCATAATTTGTCTACATTTGCATTTAACACTGCTGTAGATCATGGTCACATGAAGAGTTGACAGTTTGTGGGCACTGACAAATGTAGAGAACAGTTTGATTTAATTCTTTGCATAGATTTTGCTAAATATAAATCTTTCTCTTAGTGGCAGTGATTATGAAACTTTGCATAATTGTTGATAATTTGAAGATTTCTGTCTTCTGGGTTGTTGCACTGTGTAGTCTGGTCGATGCTAACCAACGTTTCAGAGGTCATACTGCCTCCGTCATCACCCTGATGACGGAGGCAGTATGACCTCTGAAACGTTGGCTAACATCGACCAGACTACACAGTGCAACAACCCAGAAGACAGAAATCTTCATACTCACCGCTTTGAAAACCTCAAATCTTACACTGTTGATAATTTCTTGGAGAGAAAGTGAATTATAATCTCTTACAAAAGTTTAAAATGTATCTGTGTCTATTTACCTTTAAATCTGTAAATATCAGTCAGTATATAATTATATCATTATATAATTTTCTCACAGATGTCCATGATTAATGACAATAAATAGTTGGTTATTAGTTTTGTTTTGTATTAAAATTTTAAACTGTCTAAAATCAGAATACATAGTTATTTTAAACTGCAAAAGATAATGTCTCTTTCTGCCTTCCCTTTGTTGATGGATTTATTTAATTCTGGGGTTTCTTAATCCAAATAAGGTATAAAGTCCACATTTCATTTACATTTCACTTGGACTAGCAGTTCAAGAACTTGGTAGGGTATTATTAACTGTTTTATGTGGAATAAGTATGACTTTGTTATTATGATTATGCAGTTATATTTTGTTTTATAGTGATTTTAAGTTTAGATCTTGTGAAAAGTCGATTACTGAAAATAAAAATTCTTGCCCTCGTAGATAATGTCACACAGAACTTTGAGGAAATGTTTTTGCAGACAACATAACAGAATACACAGTTTACTACGTTACAGACTATGAATGTTGTGACTGATTTCACCATATCCTGTCTCAAAAGTCTTGATTTACTTGCATTAAGATGATGGGATCGTTTATTATCAGATCCCCAACTAGAAGTCCTTACTAGAGTATTTATTCATTCTGTACCCATTGGTTGTAATAAAGTTTCTGCTTCAGAATATCTAAGGGTTGCAGGAGGATTTGTAACTGGAAAGTCAGACTAACCTGACTTCTGTTCACACTAGTTAATTAAGTTTACTGATAATTTTCTCATACGGTTTATGTATTATATGGACTGTGTCTTGTGAAAATTTCACAGTGCATTGTTATGCTATATTTTGAAACAGGAAATTTTAAATGAAGCTAGATTTATGGTATTCATCATTGTTGTGTTGGACCTGATATTTATTCTGATGCATTATTGAAGAAATTTCTTATTTGTATATGTCTTAATGTAAGTTAGTTGTGCATTCAGGAAAATTTTTTGTCTCAGGTTTTATGTAAGAATAAGACAAATAGTTGAGATGCACTTGATATTGAGAATGTTGATAGTGGTGGAAGGGTAGGCCTTATGGTTTTGAAATTATGAATCTGGTAATTGGTTGGATATTTTTAGACAATTTCTCAAGCAAAAATTTGCTGTGGCCAAGTCACAAAGAAGGAATTCGCTGTAGCCACATTAAGTTTACAATAACATTTTGAAGTTTGTATTCCAAAGTACATAATGACCTTGGTTATATACATGTAAAATAAACACTGAAGTTACTTACAGTGTTAATGTTATAAAAATCCCAGGATATTTTATATATATTATATATATTTATATATATATTTTATATTATATGTTATATTTGGTTACTTTGTGACTCTCTTCATATTATTCATTAAAAGATCTAGTATCCAATCTTTAGAAATGCTATTTGAGATGATTCAGAAGCAACTTGGTTTTGGCATAATTCCAAATGGAATATTTATAGGGAGTTGACTTCACTTTCCAGTTACATTTTGGCATCTTCCCAACAATGTTGGGATTAAAGCATTTTGAATTTTGAAATTTTTTTAAAGGAGAAATTACTTGGTTTTGTGTTTTGCATGTTAGATTTTAAGTGGCGTTTGAAACGGCAGTTAGCATGTGTAAATTTCGTTTGAATTGAACATTTGTAGAGGCAAATATTTCAGCTATTTTGCATCAGCGTACTATCAAAATTTTGCGGCAATATAGTGTTAAAATGTTGAATTCCGAATACATATTGACCACACTCAGGTGTGAAATGTTTGATTGCATTTTTTATGCAACTACTTACCATCACAAGAAAGAAGATTTGAGCCGTGTTGGTAAGTGATTACATTTTTTTATTCTTGTGTTACATTTTTGTGGAACTGATATGTTCAAGAGGTGTGATAATAATTGAATTTATTCTTTTACAGGTTAATTTATCTGCACATAATTTTAGTGGAAGGTACATTATATACTGATTCTAAACCTTTGTAAAATAAAATACATTAAGTTATTTCTTGTAAAGAGGTGGTTTAATGTGGCAAATTAGAAATTGGATTTATAAGTGATTGTAGAACATAAAATATTACTTTTTAAACTGGAATTGTTAATTTCATTTCATGGAAACATTTATTTATCACTAAGATCTTGGGATTCTCAAGTTTAAAACTAGTGTACAGGTTACACCAACTCCTTATTTCATATTCCTTGAAAGCTGTAAAGAGAATGTAATTGAATTTCCATTTCATTTGAAGGTAGCAATTAGGTTATGGTAGTCTAAGACTGAATGTGTAGGTGGAAGTCCCTAGCGCATTTACAATGTGCAATAAGGTATCTGACAGACAAAAAAGCAACATTGTAGCACAAGTCAAACGATAGCGCTCTTCGCTAATGTTGAAGAACGAGACAGAAGAAAACAGATCAAGTGGACAGGGCAACAGCAGCTCAAGTCGCCACCACCTCCATTTCTTTCTTAGATTCATTCATTCATGTTCTGCTTCTCGCATATTAGTAATTTCTTTCTTAGTTTAGAGTAGTGGTATTCAACCTGGGGTACGCGAAGACATCTTAGGGGGTACGTGAAATTTAAAAAAAAATGATAAACACTGAATAATCATTAATGTAATTTATTTAATTTATTTTAGATGTAGATTATATACTATGTATAACTTGAATTATACACCAACAACTTTGGGGGTACAAAGTTGAAGAGAAATTATATCTGGGGGTACGCGAACAAAAAAGGCTGAATACCACTGGTCTAAGGTAATACATATGTGCATAATAGTAAAAGGAGTTACATATACATTTTTTATTTATTTAACAAAATTAACAGTTCTTTCAAATGAACTAATTGGGATGAACATGCATTGTAATGGGAAAGAGAAAGTGATACCGTACGATAATAACAGGACGTCACTTACTGAAAAATAAGTGTTAACTCTCGTACCGGGGCAGATGACCGAGAGTTATGGCATAGTGTGCTTTCCATGTAATGAAAGTTCATTATATGTTTAAATTGCATTAATGTGCAGATTGATTAACTGGAACATTCATAAAACAAAGATTTGGTGTATTATTTCCTGTTTTGACAACCCTAACCTGCTCAGAAATATTTATATGTGAGGTCTGACAATTAAATTATGGACTGGTGAGTTGTTGTTTTGTTTTTGTTTTTTAAAAAGTTTTGGAATGTTTAATGGCAGTGCATTCATCAAGTAAAATAATGTCTGAAGTTGGACGAGTGGAGTTTGTATCATAATAAAGGCCATTCCGACACTTTTCTTTTGGTAAAGTTATTTTTGGTCAAAAAATAACACTGAAGATTTAATGCTGTATGAATTTATAACAAAATTTTGATAGGGTTCCATTTTTAGAATATGATTTCCAGGTACATTTATGTGCATGTATAAAGTCAGAAAATGAATATTGTTTCAAAGATGACCACACTCAATAAATGTTAGTGACTATATATATGGATTTTCTAGTTCTTTTTCGTAATTGGTCCAGTTATTTAAATGTCAGACTGTACATTTCGTGTTTAGAAGCTCTTAACTCTTTCAGTGGTATGGATAAAGCCTTCTGACTACGTGAATAGAAAAGATAAGAATTCTGGATGGAATTCTTATGACACATCTGAAGAGTGCTGAGTTCTATGTTTTGAGATCTTCCATAGAGGGAGTTGGAGGGAACTTGTATTAATATTGACAGTGAGTTTAAAGGCAGAAAAGTAAGATATTTGTAAATGTAAAGGCAGATGAGGGTCCCGCGCCGTAGCCGCGCGGTCTGAGGCGTCATGCTTCGGACCGGCGATACGGAATGTTCGCTGGTTCGAGTCTCGGGGGAGAAGAAATTTTCTCGTGAGCTTTCGACCAGTGTATGGGACCGGTGCCAACCCAGCATCGTGAGGAAATTGGGGAGCTACGATGAGTTGCGTAATCCGGTCAGGAAAGCTAGCAATGGCTGGGGGTTCGTAGTGCTGACCATACGTCATCCTATATCTGGTTGGATGATCGTGAACGTGAGGCCAGCAGCCTGCTAGTCGGCTTTGGCTCTCAGAGGGCTGTTACGCCACGGATTTAATTTTTTAAAGGCAAATGAGGGGTGGTCCTCCAGCTTGGGGGGTTGGGTGTGAGGCGAACAACATTTCGCTGTAAAAAAAACTCGTTACAAAATTTTTTACCAAGCCTCAGAACTGGACAGTTAATAAGGAATATTGTAGGGTTGGGAACTATGGATTACTTTTATATGATCTGATTCATTTGGACTGGGTCTTTGTTGTGATTTAGGCCTAAAGCACCCGTTCTTTTCTGTCCTTGTTAAGTGAAGTATAGAAATTCTTCCCCAAGAGATGCCTGTTGAGCCTTTCTTAGAAAATAAAATCCCGTGTTAGTGATTTGTACCAGTAACTGGCCTAAATTATTTTAAAGTTTAATAAATGGTTTTTCTCAAGTGTTATTTGAAAAAGTTACACTAAGTTTCACGAAATAATGTACACGGGAAGAAATTGTTTAATTATCTCGAAAATAGTAAAGTTGTGAAAAACTATATTGAAAGTTCTAACAGATGAAACGGGATTTGAGATTCTCGTGGCGACAAATATTAATATAAAGATGACTGGCTGCCTTCTGGGTTGTAGTGCTGTAGCCTGGTAGAAGTTTACTGATGATGGAGGCAAGTAGCCGTGAAACGTCGATAAAATTCTACCTTATTACATGGTGCTACAACCCTGAAGACAACCAACTTAGAGTAAAGAAACGTGTTGAACAAAACTTATCAGGAAAGTGATCATCCCCCATGATTAAAGGTAGAGTTGTATAGTTGCTGAATGATTGGATTTTAACAGAAAATTATTGGGAGAATGATTTAGTTTGATGAAACATTATCCTATACATTTTCTGGATCCCCTCAGAGTGATAAGAGAGGGGGATTTGGGTGAGGTTGAAGAAGATATTTGCAGAGAATAATCACACTGCCAGCCTTTACCGGAAGCCTTCATATTTTAGGCATGTTCATTTGTGATTGATATATCTCTGTTTCATAGATAACCAAATTTTTCTGTCGTATGTTTATTGGCTAATACGCTGAACGGTAAAAAGAGGTTATTTTTACTACAGATCTTAAGTGATTATGCATTAAGAACCTTAACATGTATGATACGAGGTGCGATCGGAAAGTTTCAAGACTGTGTCAATAGAGGGCGAACCGGATGTTGTACGAGCTTCTGCCGCTAGGGGGTGCGGCCTACATTCATAGTGAATCAGTGTGCCAGCCGGCATCATCGAATTAGCATTTGTTTCTTAGTTACGGGCGTTTTGGTAGTGCATTACACCGACCCTCCTGCGCTTTCGGAATGGCGTGTGCATCAAATTTTGCCAAAGACTCGCCAAAACGGCTACGGAAACCTATGAAATGCTAAAGCAAGCATTTGGGGAGTCCGCAAACTTTTGTGTGGCATTCACGTTTTAAAAATGGCCGAACCTCTGTCGATGATGACGAGCGTTCTGGACGACCATCTTCGAGCACAACGCCCGAAAATGTTACGAAGATCGACGTCGTACCATCAACGACTTGTGCGACATTGTTGGGATAGGCTTTGGGACCTGTCAGCTGATTCTAAAGGAAGAACTCTACATGCGACGCATCATGACAACGCGCCAGCGCACACCGCCCTCAAAGTTCGGCAGTTTTTGGCCTCAAACACTATGGCCGTCATCCCGCACCCTCCTTATTCGCCGGATTTAGCTCCGTGTGACTTCTTCCTCTTCCCAATGATGAACATTCAGCTAAAGGGAAGGAGATTTGAGACAATAGAAGAGATTTAGGCAGAATCGCAGATGGTGCTTGACAGGCTGATAAAGAAAGATTTCCAGGGATGCTTCCAGGCTTGGCAGCGGCGCTGGGATCGTTGTGTTCACTCCCAGGGGAACTACTTCGAGGGTGATGGATGAATTTAATACCTGAGATAAGTGTACGGGTTTTTATAGGCGCAGTCTTGAAACTTTCCGATCGCACCTCGTATGTCTTCGAAGTGGCCGTGTATTTGAGTAGAATAATTATGCAAGTAATTTTTGCAGACATGTTTAGAAAGTGTACTTTATGTTTTTAGTGTGATTCTACACCTCAAAAATATTTTCTTTATGAGCAGTTCTTGAAGTATCAGAAGTTGGGGTGGGATATTTTACTTGTTTAGGAGACCAGCAGACTATTATGAAACCTTAAGTGTTCCTGAAACCATCATTTAAGGTTCCTTAGGATTATACTAAAGTCTTAACATCCCTTTTTACTCGTAGCCCTTAGAGTCATCAAGTTTGTGTGCCACAGGTTATTTAATTATGATGGATCAACTGCAGAGCTTACGTAGTTTTGAATGTGTAGTCATGAATCATGAGAAAGGAAAAATTTCGAAGGAAATAAGAGGTACTGAAATGTATATGTTTCAGAAGACATGTTGAGTGAGGAAACAGCTTCGATATTTCACAAAGTGCCTGAGACCTGCTGTAACTTCTTTCGGTCAGGAAATTGAACCGCATATTCTGCAAGATTTACTCTTTCCGCCACCCCCCCGTTTGGGTAGCCCGTGGCAAAACACAGTAGCTCGCAATGCGCAGTTGTGATGGACCGTTAATAAATCTAATTTAATTCTAACAGTGTACACACATACCTGCGTGATGAAGCTTATGAAACCGGAAACCACTCAATGTAATAAAACGAACGTGTTTTCCGTGACAACGATTAATAATGAGATATTACTCTTATATACGTCGAACCCTGCTATTCACTAGTTACAATTCTCACAGCCTTTGTTCGTATGATGTATTTTATTAGTGTTCAAGCTGTTCTTGGAATAGCTGAGTTAATAGTTACCGGCTGCCACCACGTACAGACTGGAAAAGTGTCCCATTAAGTCACCTTTTCCGAGGGAAAAAGTTAAGTCCCCACGCTTATTTAAGCGCCATGTCG